CATAATTTATTTTCAAATTCTAATTGACGTAGGAAGTTGTTACAGACCTTAGTAATCAGTTGTTCAATTTCATCCATATTAGGTTTGTCAGACGAACAATTACATGTTTCCGGCTTGCCCTGGCTACTACTTTATTCATATGATGGGACTTGCTTGTCAGTGTTCTGCTTATTTAACAAGTGTCAAATTTTCACTGTACTGCACTGTTTAGAAGAAAAACTGATAACCGTTGTAATTGTACTGTCACTTATTTTCATATGTGACTTAAATTCAGTTTTTAATTTCCAGTACAACCCTTTTAAACTTTAAATGATAACTATAGGAAGTCTGCCAATGCGCGCTTACTCGCATGCTCGATTTTGTTATACATTTGTTTTTATTAACAAACAAAAAAACACGTTAATATTTAGAATGTAAAATATCTTATTCATTCATGTGTATAGGAAAAATATATGTTTTTGTCGTTCACTACAGATTAAAATCGCAGTAAAAGCTAGCTTAGTGACCGAATATAGTAGGTCAAGATTCACTCTCGATAATACTTTGTAGGTCAGCGGTCCGAGACGGGATTTAAATAATGATTTGAAAATGTTTTTTTCAGAGTAAATATGCATTTTAAAGTTTTTTAATCACGTATTCGTATTTTACTCATTATTCCAATTTTCCCTTAAAATTAATGGCATGACTGAATCACCCTGTATATCAGGGATGGGCGTTTACGCGTCGACTTTAATTGTCGACGTCTACGTGTAGACTTCGCGTAGACTATGTAAACAACGTCGACTATGTAGACAATGTAGACAAAGCGGAGTTTGCGCTCTAATTTCAGTTTGATCTAACCTATATTATATTTGCGTTACAATTACGTATGATCTATTTTGTGCTGTATTCAATTCATCACTCAACTGTGTTTGGCTGTTTTTACATAAACATAAAATGAGCGGACGTAAAACAAATTATAATTTTGGTCGGTTAAGATTTGAAAGTGAAAACTTTCATTTTTGTATACTTAATATATATTTTTTTATATTTTTTAAAACAAAAATTATTATAAAAAAAATTATATAAATATATAAATTAAGACTGTCAGTAAAAAACAGTTTATTTAATTTTAAAATTTTAGTCTCCATTCGTGACCTCATTAAGAGAAAACTAGGGAATATATATAATACCATTGTATAAGTAAATATATTTACTTATACAATGATAATATCCATATATGTATAGAGGTACATATACCAATAAATACACATACTATTTAGTTTGAGAAAATGCAATAAAAAACATTATCTTGTGCCTCTGCAAATATTTACAGAAATATGTTACCATTTATCGTTTATTGAAAAGCTCAGCTTTATATGATCTGTATTAAAATCTTAGATCTTATATATTTACATAGAGTACCTATATTATAAATTAGTAGAAATGTTTAATAAAATTTTTTTCTCTTAATTTCTGTAACTCTAACACCTTTAGAAAAAATAAAATTAACGTGTTCTAACTAAACTAAAATATCTACACAAAGTGTTCTTAAAACTTAATTAGGTATTCCAAATTGTTGCTGATTTTAAAAATGATAAAATTTTCATTAAAGAATATATGCGACATATATTTATTTAGATTTTATAGAAAAGAAAATGTTGGTCAATCTGACCTGACCTAAAACTATCGAGAAGCATCAACTGAGACACACTTTTTTTTTTCTCGTGAATTCTCGGCAGATATTGTTTGATCTTTTGTACTCGGTTCATACCTTTTTGTTTATAGATGGTTGTGATAGGAGTTTCCAAATTTTCAATTTTTCTTTTTTTTTTGCAAGATTCACGAGTTACAGCCTTACGAAATTCTTTTTTTGAGGTACATACCTACCACAACTTTTTCTAGTTTTGAGAGTTTCTTAATTGTTGACATTGTCGACATTGTCTACATTGTGGACTCTTCCAAATTAAGTCTTCATCTAGATCATTGTCTACGCGTAGACAATTGCATTGTCTACGTCGACATTGTCTACCCGCCCATCCCTGCTGTATATATATTTGCAGTATTTAGTAACCTTATTATGGATGATCACAGATGAATAAATAAGAGGGAAGTTCGGCTATGACGTATGGCATCACGAATGACGGATTGAATCAAGAATTTATTGTTACTTATGAAATATATATTTTTTTTGAAATTTACGAAAATATATTTCTTAATCAATGTTGTTCTTTCATTATAAATCTTTTAAAAGCTAGATCGAGTGTATAGTGTTGTAAGAAATACCGATTCTAGTATTGTGTTAGTACCAAAGTCTCGGTTAGAATTTTGGATATGTTTGTGGAAAACTAGATTCGTATTAAGCATCCTCGAAAATGGGGAGATATGAAAAATTTTGTGTCGATTTCGCTATAGTAAATAACTAGGTACTACCCAAATTAACGTTACATTTAAAGTTAAAAATATGAGTGAATATATGTATCTAATATACCTACATAAATTTTTAATTTAAGATTGTCCGCATCTTCAACCAGGAGAGGGATCCTTAGCTTCAAGCAGAGATACAGCATTTGGAACAATAATAACATTCAGCTGTCCTACTGGCCAGGAATTTGCAACAGGGCGTAATCGAATTACTACTAAATGTATGCCTGGGGGAAACTGGTCAATAAGTTATATTCCCAAATGTCAAGAAGTTTATTGCGGCCCTGTACCACAAATTGATAACGGCTTTTCTACTGGATCAACAAATGTAACATATAGGGGACAAGCAATGTACCAATGTTACGCTGGTTTTGCATTTCCCACAGGTCAACCTATAGAAAGAATATCTTGCCTCTCTAATGGTCATTGGGAAAAGAAACCAAATTGTCTTGGTAAACATTATTCCCTGTAACAAGCATTTAATAAGTATCATCATATATTTTAGCCTCTCAGTGTGCCGCTTTGCCAGAAGTTTCTCATGCAAATGTGACAATTTTAAATGGTCTAGGACGGTCCTATGGAACTATTATAAGATATGACTGTGAACCAGGATATATTCGAAGTGGACACCCAGTAATACTATGCATGAGTAATGGAACCTGGTCAGGAGAAGTTCCTATTTGTTCAAGTAAGATTTAGCTTGTTACTATATCTTTTCAGTCTTTTCACTATATTAACGGGAAATTAAAACCAATATTAACAAAAACAATAGGTACTAAAAATTAATGATGTTTTTTCCACGAATTTGTTTACGGAATTCACACAGTCTTATAAAGTCTAACTGTTTTCCTTTTTGTTTGCCTACGTTTAATGATGAGAATTGATTAAATAAGTATGTTAAATATATTTCACAAATAATCCATGAATAATTTTTACGCACTTTGTTGCCGCCGCGAAACGAGACTGCCTGTGGCCGAATCGCTGATAGCGATGGCAACCCGCTGCTTTCTTTGTCTCTCTACTTTGACTACTCAGAGCAGCAGCGAGTTATTTGGAAGATCCTTGTCTGATTGGGTCTAAATTAAGACCAGTGGCATCTCCTGTCGATTCTGTCGACTTGCCATACGGTGCACTATTGCGCCGTGGAACCGTTGTTGTGCAAAGTCGAGTTGGACCTCACTTAGTGGAATACCCGCGGGTATTCCACGTATCACCATCCTCAGCGGTTTTTCTTCGCTGAAGATGAAGGTGTGGTACTTCTCGCCTTTAGTGTTTTTTGTTAATTGTCTGTGGTCTACTTTTAGGGTGTTGGGATAAATGGCTATGCCATCTTTAGTCAGTTTAGCCTTGTTATAGTTTAGGTTTTGTGTTGTCAGTACTTTTTGTATTTGTGTCCAGCGTTCCTGTTTTCGTAGGATTACTGGGAGGACTTGGGGAGGGTGTCTGTCTGGTTTTGTGCTTGTAGTTGGTTTAGGTGTTTGGGAACGTGCTTTGTGTTTTTTTTGGTATTGTGTGGGTTTTTTGTGTGTGGGGGCTTCGACTTTGCTAGAGGACTCTATCGTGTCCTTTTTTCGCTTGTCTGTGCGTGAAGGGCGGGGATCGGTGCGGAGATTGTTTTGGATTGTGTTTTCGTCTGATTGCTTTAGTGTTTTATGCACGTCAGAAATTTGTCACTATCTGAATAAGCTTTGTTTGTCGTTTTGCTCGGTTAATTTGCGTATTTGTCTTTCCACCGTTTTATTTTTGTTTGTGTGTACCTAATTTGTCATATAGGTCGATTTCTGTCGTGGTGTTTTGGGAGGTTGTGGAGGATTGGGTTGTGGATGTGGAAGAGGACCTCTCTCTGATTGTAGCATCCTCATCATGGTCAGGGTCTGACATGTTTGTTTTTGTCTGTGTTTGGATGTGTTTGTTTGCTTATGTGTATTCGTCGTGTTAGGTGTGTTTTGTATTTTTTTGTCTGTTATGTTATTTGTAGGAGTCACAATTGTAAGGAAAAATGTACAACAGCAGAAGTGAAATTAACTACTTAATAAAAGGGGATCGGTTGGTGTGGAACCTCCATTTCACTGTCCACTTATCACTGCACTATACTTCGAAACTTTCGTACCGCACTGCACCGCTGCTCGCTCGGGACTGAAATGATCAAAACGCCGTTATTCCTGGCTTTGATGATCGCCTAAATGATTCGGGGCCGAGGGTGACTATCCCTCCTTGTCCTGCCTCATCGCTGTAGGCCTGGACCGCCTCATGAAGGTGGGCCCCATCCGTCGTCGACCCCGACCACAAACGTGGCCGGTGTAGGCGCTTTGTGAGACCTCCTCTTGTCCTGGCTAGCCCCCGCCGGGGGTAGTCGTCGTCTGGGGATGTTTTTTTTTGGAGCAGTGGGTAAGAGTGTTGGGGCGGTCACCTTGGATCGAAAAGTTGGTGCCTGGGTCGTTTGTGTTTGTCTGTCGCGTTTGGTATATGGTCAACGGCTTGTCTAAGTAGGGGGTTGTCATGTCTCGCGGCCTCGGCTAGTCGTTTTTCGGCGTTCGTTCGTATTTTCTGGCTGGCGTTTGCATATTGTAAGTCGTGTAGTGTGTCTGCATTTCTTACGTACCAAGGCGAGACGGTGGCCGTTTCCACAGCCTGAATTGACTTTAGGTGGCATTTTGTCACGTGTCCCCACGCCGCGGAGACGTAGGATGGCTGCAGTTGACCTTGATAAGCGTTCGTTTATTCCTTAGACTTGAGTGAGGGATAGAGCTTAGCCCTAGTGGTACTTACTCGCGCTATCGTTTCCACGATGTGCGGTTTCCACGTGAGTTGCTGGTCCATCGTCATTCCCAGGTATCGTGTCTGTCGGTCCCAGGAAATGGGTTCCTGGGATAGTGTCAGTATGTCAAGGTCTTGGGGGATTTTACGTTTCGTAAAAAGGATTGCGGTAATTTTGACTTTCCACCTGTTGCACCAGGTTTCGAGTTGGTCTAATGAATTTTGGAGAAGAGTAGTGGTGTCTGTTGCGTTTATGGATTGTGCAGTTATTGTCATATCAGCATAGAGATATATATTTCTGTTTGGGGAGTGTGGTATGTCTGAGTTGTATATAGTGTAGAGGTGTGGGGATAGGACGGTGCCTTGGGGGACACCCGCTTTCATGGGACGGATCGTGCAGGAGTTTTGGATTTAGATACGGAATTTTCGGTGAGGGAAGTAGGGCTTGATGAGTTTGATAAAGGGTATGTGGTATTGGTTTGTGAGCATTTTCATCAGTAGGCCTTCATGCCAAACCGTATCGAAGGCCCTTGTGACATCTCCTAGAAGCCACTCCGGTAAACTGCCTCCTGTTGAAGGCCGTCGTGATGTGCTCTGTGAGGTGTAGGATTTCGGTGAAGTGACTATTGCGCAAAGCGAACTGTTTGTCAGAAATGACTCGCAGTTCCTCGGAGTGGGTTTTTAGGCAGGTAAGGATTATTTTCTTCTACCACTTTGCTCATAGCCGGTAGTAGGTTTATGGGCCAGTAGTTGGATGGGAAGGTGTGGTCTTTGTTAGGTTTGAGGATAAGTATTATGTTTGCTATTTTCCAGCGTGTAGGGAAATGTCTGAGTCTGAGTGTAGCGTTTGTTATGTTGAACAGGGCCATGAGGCCCTTGTGTCTATTTAGTGTAGTGTCGTGTATTTGGTCTGGTCAGGGAACTTTTTTGATTTTTAGGCATTGTATTATTTATTTGAGTTCGTCCGGGGTTGCAGGTTGTACAACTGGCTCTTTGTCGACACGTTTGGCTACGCGCTCGGCCATCTCTTCGAATTCCTTGTCCTCGTCTGGCACTGCAGTTCCAAGCTGTCGGCGTAATCTTCGACATTTTCGTGGTTCGTGTAAGCCACCCTTCTGCTGCCGTAGATTGGAGGAATATTGCGTCGAGCAGGCTGTCGCAGGGCCCTCTGCGTTTTCCAGAGGCTGTTGTCTTGTAGATCCAGCAACCCTAAGTGTCTAGCCGAGCTTTCCTGGGCCAGGTCACTCAGGGCCGCATTCACCATCTGTTAAGTACGTTTAAGCCGTGTTTGTTTAGGGGGTGGCGGATGGCAAGCCGTTTTAAGTGTGGTCCGTCACGTATGAGTTGTCTGGGGTCTTCGGGGAGGGTGCCCCTGGGGTTTGTCAGTTGGAGTTTGTCTCTGTCGTGGTTTGCGTCAGTGCGTTTTTAATGTTTGTCCTTAGGGTAAGGACTGCTGCCTCCAGGTCATGGGTAGTTTCAATGACCGCGAGCGCGGTGTCCTTTGCATTTTTGCTCATTATTGTTAATAATAATAATAA